GAATTCTGAAGAGAGGCTCTGGTAATGCCCTCTTCTCTCCTCAGTTCCTTAACTCAGGAATTGACTTAAAGGAAGAACTCTGTAAGAAAATAGAATGCAGAATGTGGCCCCAGGAGGTTGAATTTCCTTTTGATGTTCTGAGGAGGGAGAAAGTCAACAGAGCCACAGAGGTACAAAGGTACACTTTGAAGAGGAAGACTCCCACCTAGCATTGTGAATTTCCTGCCCACTGACTCAAAATACCCTCTTTTCTTCCACCTGGAGATGAAGATTTGAGATAAAAATGTCTCTATCTTCTTCAGAGTCGCCCTTGAATAAACCTATTCTCTTCCTGTAATTTCTGTCTCCCCAAGTTTTCAGTGGAGCTGTAAGCAGCAAGGACCTTTAATTCCAATAACAGAACAAGGAATGAAACTTTAGAAGATGGAAGTCAAGGAATTGGATTCTCCCTTACAGCCTCCAGAGGGTGTGCAGCTCTGCTAACACCTTGATCTTGCCAGGGGGGAAACCCATTTTGGACTTCTGAACCCCTGAAATATAAGAGAATAAATGTATGTTGTTCTAAGCCACCAAGTTGTGATCATTGGTTTGGCAGCAATAGGAAATGAATACACATAATATTATATTAAAGCAACAGTATCTAGTGGATTTCAGGGTCAGTTCAAACTCAAGAGCTTTGATGCTGCCCTGAAGTCAGGGAGAGAGGACACATGGTCTGGGAGAGTACCTGCTCTGGAAGCTGTGGTGAGTCCAGGACCTCCAAGCCAACATAGAGACAGAGCCTAAGAAATACAGAGTAGGGGAGCCCGCAACCATGATGTTCCCATCCCTGAAGCAAAGAGGAGATAAGGAAGCTAATGTGCTTCCCCCCAGGTGTGGGAAAGGCAGGAAAGAGCAAATAATTCCAAGGTCAGGCCTGGTGAAAAAGGAAACAACACATGGTAGTTCCATTGTAGCAGGTACACAAATCTAGTCAGTCCCCAACCTACTTAATGGCTTTAAAATGGTGTGAAAGGGATGCGATTTCAGTAGAAATCACATATGGAGTTTTGAAATTTGATATTTTCCTTGGCTAGAGATTTGTGTTCAGTCATGTGATCAGAAGGGGAAATCACTGACACTACAATGCCTTGAGTTGCCAAGCTATGATGTTCAGTAGTTTAAGGCATTAAATGCATTTTTTGACAATGTATTCTCAATTTACAATGGTTTTACTGGGATATAATCCTATTGTAATTCAGTGGCTGAGCACTTGCCTAACAAGTGCAAGGCTCTGGGATCTCCACAAAAAATTTAAAAATAAGTAAATAAGGGAAGTCTTGCAATGTAATTTAAAAAAATTATTGATGCATAATAACTATGCATAATAGAGAATTCACTGTTATATATTCATATGTGCATATGATTTGTTCAATTTCAATTTCATTCCCTAGGACCTTCTCTTGTACTCCCCTCCTGTTGATCCTCTTCCTTTATCCTATTGAGCTCTCTTCTATTTTCATGAGACTTCTTTTTTTCTCTCTAGCTTCCATTTATGAGAAAAAATAACACCTGACTTTCTGCGTCTGGCTTATTTCACTTAATATGGTGATGCTCTCTAGTTCCATCTATTTTCCTAAAAATGACACAATTTTGTTCTTTTTTATTGCTGAGTAGAACTCCATTGTGTATATTTACTTCATTTGTTGATGGACACCTAGGCTGGTTCCATAGTTTGGCTATAGTCAACTATGTTGCTATAAACATAGGCATGTATTTATTGGTATATTATGCTGACTTTATTTCTTCTGGATAAAATACAGGGCAATGATATAGCAAGGTCATATAGTGGCTCCAAATTCTAGTCTTTTGAGGAAACTCCATACTTATTTCCATAATGGCTGTACTAATGTATAATCCCATCAATATCATGTAAGTGAAGCCAGATTTAAAATTAGGTAGTCAGTGTAGTTAGGTAAATCGGGTCTAATATCAGTGAAGTCTAAAATGGAGGCCATGTTGAGAATAAATTTCCGGAAGAGTTGAGCAACTCTTAAAATGTTAATAAAGTCCTAAGAAAAGCCCTAGGCCCAAAGTCCATCCCAAAGAAATGTTAATGAACAGCCCCAGCAAATTTGAAGATAGTGCATCCCAAAGAAGTGTTAATGAAGTCCTTCCTGCCCAGATTACTTCTTAGGCCCACCTGTGTCCCACCCCTCGGGCCTTCCAACCTACATTCCATCACTGAAAGAACTATAAAAAGGGGAAACAACCTCACTTCCACGGATTCCACCTCTTGGGTCCCCTTCTTCCTCCTGGACAAGTCTTTTCTGCTGTCCTTTAATAAACTTCTAATTTCTACTCTGACCTTGCCTCGTTGTGCTTCTCTGGTGTTATTCTTTAACACTGGGGAAGCAAGGACTCGTCACCGGTCAACAGTGGTAACATAAGAGTTCTTTTTCTCTCCACATCCTCTCCAGCATTTATTATTATTTCTATTCTTGATAAATTGCCATTTTGACCAAGGTGAGATAAAATCTCAGTGTAGTTTTGATTTGCATTTCTCTGATTGCTAGGGATGTTGACCTTGTTTTTATATGTATTTGTTAGTCATCTATAATTTTTCTTTTGAGAAATGTCTGTTTAGTTCATCTGCCCATTGATGCCTCAGTTTCTTCTGGGTCAACAGTTCTCCAGTGCCCCTTCCTGGTCACTGGGCCTTGTGGCAAACTCTCTAACAAGTGGAAGTTCCATGCCCATTAATCACAGTCTCCCTTTTCCCTCAATGTGTTGGGAATGGAGGTGTCCAACCCCTTCTCCACTGCTCTCTGGAGACTTTACATCTATCCCTCTTCCCCATGATTTATTTGGCACTGCCACTCTCTAGCTGTGTGGCCTCAAGTATTTAAAGGTTTAGGCCTTGTTTTTTCATCCTTAAGTGGGAGGAATTAAACAATCTGCTCTACAGCTCTATAAACACTGAGATAATGTTTATAAGAAATGAATAAGGGTATGGAGGAGGGGCTCTGCAGACATCACTAATCCTAGTCTTCTTAGGGAGAGGCAGGCATGGGAAGTGGAGTGCTGGAGGGAGGAAAGCTGCTTGAGCAAGGAGCCAACCCATTGGAGGCTAGGATCCAGCCCATGGTACCTTTCAGAAGCTCTAGTCTCTGTGTCCCCTATCCGAAAGAACCTCCCTCACCAATGCAGCCTCCCCTACCAATGTACTTTCCTGCAATCTAGAGGATCCTGGCTTCTGCAATCCTACCCTTTCTTCAGTGGGCAGGCAGGGGGTGCTTACCTCCAGGCCATGTTTTTTCTTCAAACTTCAAGCTGGACAGTTCTGCCATCACCATCTTTGCTAAGGAAGCTGGGCCATCCGCTATCACTGGCAGCCCCCATGGACTCTCTGCAAGGGGGGAGTGGGGGAAATGTCAAAGCATAAATATCCTACATAAATATTCTTAATTTCTGGGAGAGATGGTATGAGATGATAGCAAGAGACATGTCCCAAGGAAGGCGGGAAATTGGGGCCTTGCCACAAGAAAGACTGGAAACTTCATCTTATGTAGTTGCAAAGCTAACAGGCCTGAGTTCTGGGCTTCTGTGCAAGACATTGTTCTTGTGTTTTATAAGCACAGTAGTCCCCATCCCCACCTTATCTTTGAGGGATACATTCCAAGGCCCCCAGTGGATGCATGAAACTGTAGATAGTACTGAACCATATATATACTATATGTTTCCTCATATATATCTACCTATAAGCTTGAATTTATAAATTAGGCACAGTAAGAGACTAACAATAACTAAAAGTAAATAGGACAATTAAATATTGTACTGATGCCATTGTAGCAGGAGTCTACTTCATACTTTGAACATAACCCTTGCTACTCTGCCACTGCCACTTATTTGAAAACTTTCTCCCTCTCCCACTCCCTAGCTTTAGGGAAAACAAAATTACCCTTCTTCCCTTCCTAGGCTAAGTTATCTGTCCTTGAGCAAACACATACCACAGGAATGAAATAATTAGATTTAAGGGATGGCATCAAGTGAATTACCACCCCTGATAAGGCACATCTGGAATGTAGCTTTTGAATTGCCTATTTAAAAGCCCTCTATTCTCCTCTTTGATGGTCAGATTAATAGCCTCTGGGACAGGAGTCCCTGTTTTTCTCCTTTGCTAGGAAAGAACTATAACTTCTTTTTTTTCAAAACCTTGTCTTCATGATTGGATTGACATTGAGAACAAGGACAGAGCTTTTGGTAACACCATGACAGTCAATCTGATAACTGTAATGGATGGGTGGCATATATATCATAGATACATTGGACAAAGAGATGATTACTGTCCTGGGCAGAAAAAACTAAGATTTCACTCTCACTCAGAATATTTAACAATTAAAAACTTATGGTGTATTTCTGTAATCTTCCATGTGATACTTTTGAACTGTAGTTGACCATGGATAACTAAAGCCATGGAAAGCAAACCACAGATAAAGGGGAACTACCTTATTGATTCATGGCATTTGCAGTGCAATCCAATGAAGTAACTCTGATATTTCCTAATTAATGAGTGAAGCTAGGGACCCTGAGTCAGTCTGCTAGATTCCATATCCTAATTAGTTATGTGATTGTTCAGCCTTCGGTAGCCAGTTAATCTCTGAGCCTTAGTGTCCCCATCTCACCATGGGAATAATAGCCAAATACTTGTCACAGGGTGAGGCTCAGAACTTCCCTGATGCTGTACTCATAATATCTGCTCCCTTAATGAGACTGTCCACTCTGCAGATCTCCCCCATGTCACTTCCTCACTCCCTACCTCCTGAAGAAAAAAGCCTGGTCTTTCTGATCTGGCATCTGAGTCCCTAATGGGAACCTCGGCCACTTCCTTCCCATCTCCCTTCCACACTTGGACACAGGCTGGTTTTAGATCTTTGCTCTTTTTCTCCTTCTTGATTTGGGACAGCTCAGTCCTGACCAATCAGACTGGCATCACCTGAGTGCATCCCAGGTAGGGACCATAGAGAGAGGAATCCTGGATGTCTGGGGATTTGTTAACTTGAAATCTTAAGTTTAGGAGCCTCAGCTTGGATGGGAAAAGATAACCTTTTGTTTTCACTAACCTCTAGTCAAAATTTAGTGTTTCCTCTCATGATGAATGGAGACAAAGCACAGTAGGATGAGTAGAACCTGTGCACTGGTCTTGGGTAGAAACCAGAGTGCTTTTGAATCAATAACAGTTACTGTATACATCTAGAAATATGCTTCACCCTCTCACTGCTTCCAAATGGTGGAAATTGCTAATTTAATGTGCTTACTTAGAGGAATATGCATTATTTATCACACTTTTACCTTTTTAATTAAAAATTATCTTAATAACTAAAATACTAAATAGCTTTATTGCAACGTAATTGGGTTCCTTCGAAATCCTGTGTATTTCACGTTACATATTGAACGCGAAAACGGTTTGAGAAAAGTTCCACCTTTCAGAAACGGGTAGAAACTCAGACTCCATATACTAGTGCTGCCACCTAGCGTCTGCACTGGGCCTCTCTTTAGTCATCTGCAAACTGAGACAAGTTGGCCCTCCTAATCCAAGGGTTCTGCTTCCTGGGATTTGACCAACGAACCACAGATGGAAACTATTTGGGGGGGAAAAAAATCGCATCTATACTAAATATGTATATACATAAATTTTCAATTTCTAAACAATAAAGTATAACTAGTAACATGATATCATTATGTTATTGGTAATCAGGAGATAATTTAAAGTATAAGTCAGGTTATACGCAAATACTATCTTATTTTATTTAAAGGACTTGAGCATCCATGGATTTTGGTATTCCTGGGGCGCCCTGACACGTTCTCCTCAAAATATCGAGGGATGACTGTATGTTCTAAGAGAGAAATGGCTTCCTGTAGGTAAAGTACTTAGGACAGATCCTGGCATAAAGGACACCAGCTAGGACTTCTCTTAGGCCTGTGGTATCTGTGCAGTTGAGGTGGGTATGCCTTGTGGTGCGGTAGGGAACTCAGGAAGTGGTCATGCCTGCGCGCTGGGTTGGCCAGCTCTGCGCACAAAACTGAAACTAGGAAAGAATGGAAATTCTAGACCAGGTCAGAAAAACCCCTGATGTTCTTTCTCATTCTCCAGCCCAGCCAGGGAAAGCAGAGGAGGGCTATTTCCGGACAGGGGCCCTGGAAGCCCCTCCACTCTGGACCGCCCCTTGCTTCAGGCGGGTGGCAAGGAAAGTGCTGGCTGCCCTCACATCCAAGCTCCCTACCTCCCAACAAAGCTTCCCCAGGGTCTTCCAGGAGCACCCGGCCCCGTGGAAGCCCTTGCTGCGCTGTCTGGGAGGGGCCTACGGAAGTTATGCCCCGGGCTAGGTCACACTTCTGTGGGGTCACGGTCAGCACCTATTCTACTCTCCTCCTCGGCCTCCCGCGGCCCCACCCGCAGGGCTGTTCTGGGCTAGCGAAGCCAGAGTGGGAGGCGTCAAACAGGAGCCTGGTCCAGCCCAGGGCTGCTTGCCTCCTCTCAGATTGGGGATGGGCTCTCCAAGTCATCACTACCCCAAATCCGGGTGGAAAACATGGGGTCGCCCCTGAGCCCCCCTCCTCTCCCTCAACTGTCTTGATCTTGATCTCTCACCTGCTGCGCGCTCTGGCACCAGCTCAGACAGCAGCAGCAGCAGCAGCGACGGCGCCACCCCGACTTGTGCGCTCCTGGGACTTCGCTGGCCTTTGGCCTCCATCTTCGCGCACTCCGCTGGAAGGGGGGTCCTGGCGCAATGCGTCCTAAGACCTTGGGGCACCAGGCCTGGAGGCGAACTACAGCTGACGTCCCAACGCGGAACCTGCCCCAGGCGAAATTAGCGGAAGCACAGCCGCTCAGCACTCGGAGGGCGGAACCCTACAGTCTGGAATCTCGGGGCTTGAGTTTCAGCGCCGCAGCGCCCCCTTGCGTTTCAGCAGCCAATCCTGCAGCTTGTTGACTGCCAGGAGCTGGCCAGCAATGGTCGAATAGGGGAGAATGCCCGCCGGGCTTGTCCCAGCGGACAGTCCCGAGGTTCTTCCATTCTGCTTTTCTCTCCGTTGGACCTTGGGAATAGAATCCCAAGAAAAACAAGAAACCAATAGTATTGATAATTGAGAAATAAAGCTTACATGCTTCACTACCTTTTGAAATGAGATCCAGCTAATGCCATTTAAAAAGTAGTGAGGCGGCTGAGCATGGTGGCGTTTACCTGTAATCCCAGCCACTCAGGAAGGCCAAGACAGGAGGATTGGGAGTTCAGAGCCAGCCTCAGCAAAATCAAGGTGCTAAGCAACTCAGTGAGACCCTGTCTCTAAATAAAATACAAAATAGGGCTGGGGGTGTGGTTCAGTGGTTGAGTGCCCCTGAGTTCAATCCCTGGTTACCCCCGCCCCCCAAAAAATAGTGAGGCGGATTAGTGTCTGCGCTTGTCATGTGACTCAAAAACATTTGTGGTTTCCTTTGGGGCCCAAGACACTGGTTCTGCTAATTCTGCTTAGCAGAAGGAAACACTTTCAGCTACAGGTTAGTGAAAATAAAGTTTATTTTCCTCATCCAGATTCACAGACCCTCCTGAATTTTGACCAGGGGCCCCCAAATTCAGGAAAGAGTTTTCAGCTGGGTGGAGTTTTGAAAATTGTTGGGGACAACTTTAGTGGTCCGGATGAGGGGGGGCAGGGTTCCTCACTTTGAGGGTGGGGCCCAGAAGACCAAAAGGCCAGCCTCTGCTCTTTCTGGGAGGCCATCATGCACAAGGTGTTCGGTGAGCCTTCACCAGAAAGGAGACCCACTGTGATGATCAAGTCCAGAATACATTTAAGCCATAGTAATGGTAGATTGGCTTTGTGAGAGAGGAAGAAAAAGATCTGTGAGGTCAGTCGCACCCAGCACTTCTTGTAAAGGACTTTATGAGAGGTCTGGGCACCCACCCAGGCATCTTGCTTGTGCACTCTTGCATCTCTATGGATAGATGTTCCCTCTGAAGCTGCCACTAGGCCCTCTGTGTTTTGTCTGGTTTCACAGTCTTAGCTAAGAGACACTTCTCTAGGGCTTCTGTTTCAGGGACTTGGTCAACTCTCCCTCATTCTGGCTGTACTTTCACCACTGTGCTTCTATCCAAATATCTAGGGTAGTTCTCCTTCAAGTGTTTTCCATGGGAAACTGAAGGCTGAATCCACCTGTAGGTGCCTCTAAGACTTTCAGATCCCAAGTTGTGGACATCTTACCTATCCCGGCTGAGGACCCCAGGAACTTGGGCAGAACCTTTAGTCTGCTGTTAGCAGGATGGGGAGGCTCCTCATCAAAATAGAATTAATTCCCTCATAGCTAAAACAGTAAAACCAAGTCGGTTAATAAGACAGTCAACTGCTGGGCCAGGCGGCGTATTCCTGTAATCCCAGTGATTTGGGATGCTGAGGTAGGAGGACTGTGTGTTTAAAGCCGGCCTCAGCAACTTAATGAGGCCTTAGCAAGACCCTTCTCAAAATAAAATATAAAAGCCTGGGGATGTGGCTCAGTTTTTGAGTACTCCTGGGTTCAATCCCCATTACCAAAAAAAAAAAGTCAACAATTCTGAAATCAGTAATGTTAGTACCAGCAACATTAATTACTTCTACTTGAACACTGGGCAAAGCTTCCTGCTGGCCAGGACTTCCACAGGCTTCTGTAGTATATGCAGAGAGAACACAGCAGAAATCTAGACTCTCATTGAGGGGATCTCATTGTGCTTTGATGACAGTCTCTTTGAGCAAAGCTGAAGCTGACTAATATAGGATTTTGGGAATCATATATATACATATATATATATTTTTTTGGTTCATGTGTGTGTGTGTGTGTGTGTGTGTGTGTGTGTAGAGGGTTGAAACCCAGGACATTGGGCATCCTAGGCAAGTTCTGTACCACTGAGCCATGCCCCCAGACCTTTTTATTTTTAAAATTTGAGACAAAGTCTCACTAAAACAAAAGCTAACAAAAACATGGTCATGGCAACATCATGCTTGAGAAATATGTTTTATGGCATAAACCTGTCTTCTGTATAACAAAGGGCATAGCTGGGACCTAGCAACTCTGTGGGATAGATAGCCTTTCAGAGCTGGCAGGCCTTTCAGGAAGGGCCGGCTCCACACTAAAGGGCAAGTCAGTACACCTCTTCCTTCTTCACCGTGTGGGCAGAGAGGAGTCATCCACTGTCCCTGCCTCTGCCTATAGTGTGGTCTCTAAACACCTGTGTCTGGAGCTGGGCATGTTTCTCCTACCCAGCAGAGAGGATGGAGGAAATGGACGGGACAAGAGGACTCAGAACCTGTGAGTAGGCAGTCCCAAATGTCTCCAGTCCAGAAAAATCATCATTTGACTCTAAAGGGTGACTCTGCGTCTCAAGGAACCTCTATATGTGACAAAGCTTATCAGTCCTTATAAGGTACTCCTGTGGTGAAGCCCATGCCCGCTTTCCTTAATGCTAGGGAGAGGATTGGGGGGTAGAAGGTGAGATGAGGAAAAGAGAGAGAGGAGGAGCTGTTTCCAGTTTCTCTTGGGAGAAAGCTCACTGGTCAGAAAGGTCCTGCAGACTGTTGTCACAGACCATCTTCTCTAGGAGGTCATTCCCTGCCAACAGGACACTTCTTTTCCCTCTTGTGTGAAACCTGTCTTCTTATATATTTCAAAACTCCCCAGTCAACAAGAGGATGAGGAGGATGAGAAGGACATGGGCTCTAAAGCCAACCAGTAGTTGAACAATGTCATTCTGAGGTGGTTTCTTCCAGGTAGGAGGAACAAGCCAGTTTTCCTATCTCCAGCACCAACTCCTTAGCCTCAGAAGCCCTAGAGGTACCTACTGGGGTAGAATCAGGCACACAGCTGGGTACATGGCTAAGCTTGTGGAATAATAGGGGGGCCCCAGTATTGTAGAGACTTTTCCAATTAGCCCAGGAAGGGGCTCCCCTAACCACACTCTGCATCTCAAGGAACCCCTATATGTGACAAAGCTTATCAGTCCTTATAAGCTTCTTGCCTGAAGCCATTGTGAAGGTCTCATTCAGTTTTGTTATTCTACTTGGCAGGTAGATGTATCTCAGCTCCTCCAGGGACACCTCCAACATCCCATTTCTGCAAGGTGCTGTCTCCTGCATGTTCACATCCTTCACCAAGGGCTCTTTGTAGCAAAGCCAGATCACAGAGAAGTCCCTAGTAGAAATCCATAAGCCCAGAACTTCAGTGTGGTCTCCCTATGGGTTGCTCACAGGTTGGTTTACCCACATGGAGGAGAGTGCAGGGTGAGGGGTGCTGGATTTTCTTGAAGAGGGTCTTCTCCCACACTTTCTGCATTCATGGGGTACAAAAGTGGCAGGACTTCTCACTCACCTCTTTTCTAGCCTTGACTGGGCCTGTGATCCCCTTCCAGTATGAGAAGGCTCTTTCCCTGTCTCTGTGATCTTCCTGGTTTCTGGAGGCAAACTTTTAGCAGGGAATAATTACTTGCATACCTGGAGGTTTCTGCTATGAGAGCTGTGAATGCAGAGCACCTGAGCACTCGATCAGCACTCCCACCAGCCAGCTGGAGCCCCAACCTTCTCTGTGAGATGGGAGCACCCCAATTTTCTCTCAGGTTTTAGGTGGATGCTCCGAGGGCTGGATGAAGGTGTTTGGTTATTCACAAAGAACTATTCAGTTGCTGATAAAAACAATTCCTCTACACATATAATCTTTGAATTTCTAGAAATTTACTATTCACAGCTATAAATTATAACCTACCAGGACTTCGGTAAAGAAAACATTAATAAAGGAAAGAAAGGAGGGATGATTAGCTAGTATGACACATATAATGTGAGAATCTGGCATAATGCAGGGTACACAGTAGGTGCTCAATAAATGTTTGGAGCTGTTATTTAGAAATCTGAGGTCAACACTCAAGTTAAGGCTGCTGTCTGCCAACTGCCTCCAACATCATGAAGGGAGACGGAGGTTGAAAAGTACACCATATTTTTGCCTGTACAAAGAGAACAGCCAAGAAAGTGTTTATCTGGAAATATCCAGTCTGTAAGTGAGATGATGGAGATTCATTTGCATTTCCAGGGCATTTTCTGGTAGTGCTGCTCAACCTGCTCACCAATCCACCAAGTTCTGGTCATGAATAGCCTGTCCTGACCATATCCTCAATTTAGAAGACACAAACAAAAGACAAACTCCCATGGCCCCCGATTCTCTCACTCACACTCATGCACATATGCTCATATGAATATGCACATGTTTGCATGCACATGTGCATAGACACACAGGAGGGCAGGAGATGCCCCTTGCCAATTTCCCTCCTTCCTTTTGCAGAGCACTCAAGAGAGCCCTGCTCCCTGTTACATGCATTGATCATAATAAAAAGAAAGTCACTTTACCTATGAACAGTTTTTCACACCTTACCAAATACTCATGACTTCATTCAGTTTCTGTACAAGTGTTAGAGGTTCATGCAATTTATCAATATTTTCCAAGTGAAAGGATGGTGGTGCAGGTGGATGTTGCTGGATAGGGAAACAAATCTCAAGTTACATGTGCTCTTGCTCAAATCCCACCCTGCCCATCCTCCTCTGTTCCATAACCCCCCACAGTTCCTACTTAATTAGTATAGTCCCCTTGTGTATTAATGGGTGCTTTCCTTCTGAGTTTTCTTTCTTCTTCTTTTTTTTTTTTCTATGTGTGTGCTGAAGATTGAACTCAGGTCCTCACACATGCTAGGGAAGTGCTCTACCCCTACCCCAACACCCCCATCTCTAAACTAATTTTCAATCCTTCTTGTAGGAAGGCAGCCTCTGCCCACAAGAAGTACCCAGGATGAGGCATCTTTTAG